AAGAGAGGACATATTTGAAAATTATATCATTTACAATCTAATTATCACTTGTTTATTTTCAAATCTCTCGTGATCCTTTTCTGGGTAATTTTCGATTATTGGACGTTTATGAGTTTCCGGAATCATTAATTAACTGAATAAAAACTTAATCTTCTCTTTTTTCAGAATTTCTTACCGTTTTCTCCATCAGCCGCCTGTCTCAGGTTCTTGCTGGCATGTAAATCCCTCCTTTTATTCGTTCTCTCTTACTCTCCCTCTCTCATTTTCTCTCTCCCACTCTTTCTCTCTCACTTTCTTTCACACTCTCTCTCTCTCTCGTCTTCTTTATCGTTCTTTCTCACTCTCTGTCACACACTCTCTCTCGCTTTCTCTCTCTCAATTTCTCTCACACGCACACACACACTCTCTCTCTCTCTCGTTTTCTTTCTCTTACTTTTTGTCTCTCTCTCATTTTTGCTTTCTTTCTCGTTCTTTCTCACTCTCTCTCACACACTCTCTCTCGCTGTCTCTCTCGTTCTTTTTCTCTCTCACACACACTCTCTCTCTCGTTTTCTTTTTCTTACTTTTCTTTCTCTCTCTCTCTCTCATTTTTGATTTCTTTCTCGTTCTTTCTCTCTCTCTCTCTCACACACTCTCTCCTTTCTCTCTCCCTTTCTCTCTCTCTCACACACACACTCTCTCTCGTTTTCTTTTTCTTTCTTTTTTTTCTCTCTCTCTCTCTTTTTGCTTTCTTTCTCGTTCTTTTTCTCTCTCTCTCTCACACACTCTCTGCTTTCTCTCTCACCCTTTCTCTCTCTCTCACACACACACTCTCTCTCTCGTTTTCTTTCTCTTTTTTTTTTCTCTCTCTCTCATTTTTGATTTCTTTCTCATTCTTTCTCCTCTCTCTCTCCACACTCTCCTTTCTCTCTCTCCCTTTCTCTCTCACACACACACACTCTCTCTCTCGTTTTCTTTCTCCTTTTTTTCTCTCTCTCTCATTTTTGATTTCTTTCTCGTTCTTTCTCACTCTCTCTCTCTCACACACTTTCTCCTTCTCTCTCTCTTTCTTTCTCTCTCTCACACACTCTCTCTCTCGTTTTTTTTTCTTACTTTTCCTCTCTCTCTCTCTCATTTTTGCTTTCTTTCTCGTTCTTTCTCACTCTCTCTCTCTCACACACTCTCTCGCTTTCTCTCTCTCCCTTTCTCTCTCTCTCACACACACACACACTCTCTCTCTCGTTTTCTTTCTCTTACTTTTTTTCTCTCTCTCTTTTTGCTTTCTTTCTCATTCTTTTCTTTTCTCTCTCTCACACACCTCTCTCGCTTTCTCTCTCCCTTTCTCTCTCACACACACACACACACTCTCTCTCTCGTTTTCTTTTTCTTCTTTTTTTTTCTCTCTCTCTCATTTTTGATTTCTTTCTCGTTCTTTCTCCTCTCTCTCTCTCACACACCTCTCACTTTCTCTCTCTCCCTTTTCTCTCTCTTCTTTTTTCTCTCTCTCGTTTTCTTTCTCTTACTTTTTTTCTCTCTCTCTCATTTTTTGATTTTTTTTCGTTTTTTCTCCTCTCTCTCTCACACACTCTCTCGCTTTCTCTCTCGTTCTCTTTCTCTCTCTCACACACACACACTCTCTCTCTCGTTTTCCTTCTCTTACTTTTTTCTCTCTCTCTCTCATTTTTGATTTCTTTCTCGTTCTTTCTCACTCTCTCTCTCTCACACACTCTCTCGCTTTCTCTCTCTCCCTTTCTCTCTCTCTCACACACACACACTCTCTCTCTCGTTTTCTTTCTCTTACTTTTTTCTCTCTCTCTCTCATTTTTGCTTTCTTTCTCGTTCTTTCTCACTCTCTCTCTCTCACACACTCTCTCTTTCTTTTTCTCTCTTTTTCTCTCTCTCACACACACACTCTCTCTCTCGTTTTCTTTTCTTACTTTTTTCTCTCTCTCTCTCATTTTTGCTTTCTTTCTCGTTCTTTCTCACTCTCTCTCTCTCACACACTCTCTCTCGCTGTCTCTCTCCTTCTTTTTCTCTCATCCCACCCTTTTATTAAACTATGATTTGTTTTTTACTTTTTAACTTTGCTTAAGTGTCACATTTTGGAAAAGAAGCGGGAAAACAGAAAAGTAAAAATGAAATAAAAAATGAAATGAAATAAATAAAGAAAATAAATTAAAAATGAATTTAAAATCTTAATTAAAACTGAAATAAAAATAATTAGAAAAAATAGAAAAAAAACAAAGCATACATTTTCATTGTTTCAAAATAGATTTGCAAAATAATTAATCTTGATATGTTTACTTAGAATAAAAATTAAGTTTTATTATTATTTAAGATTTTCTTTTTCTTTTTAGTTTTTAGCAATCAGGAAAAAATAATAAATTTTCTTTGAAATGATTTTTCACAGAAATAAAGAAACTACTTTCTTTGAATTTCTTTCTTTCTTTTCTTTCTTTTCTTTCTTTCTTTTTTCTTTCTTTTTTTCTTACATTTTGTTTGTTTTTTCTTACTTTCTTTTAATCTTCCTTTGTTTTTTTTTCTTTTCTTTCTTTTTTCTTTTTTTTCTTTTCTTTTTCTTTCTTTTTTTTTTCTTTTCTTTTTTTTCTTTCTTTTTCTTTCTTATTTTTTTCTTTCTTTGTTTTCTTTCTTTCTTTCTTTCTTTCTTTCTTTCTTTCTTTCTTTTTACTTGTTCACTTCCCTTCTTTTTCTATGTTTCTTTCTTTCTTTCTTCTGGCATCAATGACAGATATTTCTTTCCTTAACATGACAACGGATGAATACATTTTTTCTTTACTCGCAGGTGATTATAGGTCTTTACCCATATATACTATAAGAGAATAATTATAGAAATATGATCGTGAAGCTGTATTAAAAATCTGTTTAGGAATAATTGCCTCGCGATGTAGATGTGATTAAATGGGGGTCCAGGTGGAAGGGCGAATAAGGTAAAGAATAAATTCGCAGCTGCCCAGGTTTGTCAGGCGGGGGCAAAAGCATAACTTGAACGAGGAATGATTAATCCCTGAAGAAAAAGTTCGTATTATTAAGTACGTATTAAGAACACGTGTCAAATTAGCTTAAACAATTTTGTACTAATTTTATGAAATATGACGTTTTATAAGATGCCTGAAGATACTAACTTAATACGGGTCTATTTTCGTAAATATGATGTCGGTTTTTATTGTCAGCTTACGTTTTGTCCGAAATATCGCCAAATATATTGAATATTTAGAGAACCGGTTGCGTAGCCTTGATGTAAATTGTATTTGTTGTACATGTGCGTATTGATACGTTCCTACAATTTAAAATGGCGCTGAGTAATCTTGCGTAATGCGTTTTCGTCGAACTTACAACGACCGATAGTCTTTTTAACCGATAATGATTTTCAGTTAAGAAACACTTACTATTGTTTACGCAGTTCCGCATGACGCGCCTACAACAAGGCTTGTCATCTACATTGCTATTGATACTAACAAAACGAAATACCCACCCACCTACTAACCGTGCTCATATACACTGTTTGTTTTCCATAAACGTCCTTTGAAGAAACGTAATACTGTTTCGAAAAAAAAAACGCACAGTACGAACTGTCGAAGTGCGAACTGTCGAAGTGCGAACTGTCGAAGTTTTCCAGAAAAAAAAACTGTCTGGCTGGCCATGCAATCTAATATCTTGATCGAGTCGTTTCATCATCAAATTGGTCGATGCAAACACAAGAAAACCGGCCGAGGACGTTCCTAATATAATCAAAGAAATATATTTATTTCCTTATCAATTCCTTATGGGTCATTTAATGCCGAAATTTAAGTGGCTTGGGAACATTAGTAATTTCTTTTACACAAATATATTGCTGGTAATTGTTTTTCCCAAACATATATTGTTGGTATTTTTTAAAAAAAAAAAAACAAATATATTCCTGTAATATTACAAAATAGATTGCTGGTAATTTTTACTATGAAAATTAATTTTCATACTTTCATTTTTTTTTTTTTTTTACTCCAATTTGAAGGTTAACTATTTGCCCAAATAACTGGGATCCTAAGAAGTGCAATCACCCCAGGTCAGGGTGGACCGGGGATAAAACAGCAATTGAAGTGCTTACACGCTCCTCAACACCTCACGATCAGAGGCCTTGCTAACGGAAGTAGTTTATCATCATATCCAGGACGAAAAGAAATAGGCGCCGCGAATGTTTCTACTGCAATAATCAAAAGTATATTGAAAAAAAAAACAACAAAAAAAAAACAAACAAGAAAACGGAGTATCAGCCGAGATTAATCCCCTTCCAGAATATATCCAGTAAACTTTATCCTAGGCCAGAATAATCGCATGAGCTGATGGCATAGGATTCGTTCTATAGCTGTACTTACTTTTCTTGGGTCTTCTAAAATGGAAAAACAATGGTAATGGTAATATCAACCATTTCTTTATGGTAAAGAATTCGGCATTCACTCTGACGAGGCTATTTAAGAACGTTAACCAAGCAGCCAGTGTTCGATTTAAATTCATAAAATTTTTCTCGTAATCTTTCTCGTTTTTCAGAAAAGTAGTTTTCTCAAGTCCACTAATCGGTCGTTCCATTACTGCCAGGAGTTTCCATCCTAACCTTTTGTTCGAAGTAGTGTGGAACATCAAAATCATAATTATGTAATTATCATTATTTTCTCTTCGAATAACATGTGATTTCCATTTTATTTGTTGCTGATGTTGAAAGTCTTGAGATTCGTTTATTTGGCACGGTTTTTCGTTTATTTGGCACAGTTCTTCATCTGTGATTCTGTAGCAGCAGTTCACGAGGTTCAAAGAACGATGGACCTCTTCAAAGACATGCAGGATTTATTCGATCGAAGTCCCTTTTCATCTTTTGAAAAACAACATGGGGATAGCTCATCTAAAGCATGATATCGGACGTCTCTTAAAATACACTTTCTGCATTCTCGATTTTTCCAGTGGACAGGCATGCCTAAAACAGATGGTCATGGTGAGAGGTACTATTATGGTAGATTGAATCGCGGTATCAAAACATGTTCGGACCAAACATGATGGATAACGACTGCCGGAAAACTAGCTCAATGCCGAAGTCTCCCTTCAGAACGTGGGTGATATATATATATATATATATATATATATATATATATATATATATATATATATATATATATATACAGTACTGTTCAATAAAAGTGACTCACCTGATTTGTTTACTTAAAAATGTTCGCCTATTGTTTTGGGGGTCAAACTAATTTTTAACCTTACTAATATAAAGACCCCTTCCCAACCACCTAGTAAAAAAGTTTAATCACCCTAAGGTATTCTATTGATAATTATAATTTTGGATATAAATGAGATTTAAAGAAAAACTCTGTGCAAAAAAAGTGACTCACTTATTTTCTGCAACTAGTGATCAATAGAAACATAACCGAACAGCTTTAAATAAAGAATAATAGAGGTATAATTTATTTATAATATGTAATATAGTTCGAAATATTTCATAATCTATGGGTCCTCCTTTATTTTGAATAACCTTTTCAACCCTTTTTTGCATTGACTTGATTAGATTCTGGCAATTCTCATCTCCAAACATTGAATTCCATTCATAATCAAATCCTATTTGTTGCTCAACTGCTTTCTCGAGAGGCTGTACTTTATAATGCTCCATAAATTTTCGATGGGGTTGAGGTCAGGAGATTGGGGCGCCCATGCCATAACACTCACCTGCTTCTCATCAAAGTATTCCTTCATCAATTTTGATTTGTGACAGGGAGCATTATCCTGCATAAAAATGAGCTTGGTGGGGTCGATTTGCACCCTTTCAGCAGAAGGGAGCAGACAAGACTCTAAAATTCTCTTGTACTGCTCGCTCCTGAGGGTCTTTTCAATAGGTTTTAAGAAACCAGTTCAATGAAAAGAAAAGCATCCCCAGAACATTATACTGAACGGATGCTTGACAGTACTTACTGCTAAATTCAAAGAGCTTTCAAAGCTTCTTCTTTGGATTTTAGATCGCTTATTCTTTTAAATTTAGCTCAACTTTCGTTTCATCGGAGAAGAGAACATTCTTCCAGTCTTCTACGGTGAAATTTTTGTAATAGTGAGCCCATTCAAGTCTCTTGGCTTTGTTGGCTTTGCTTATTAGCGGCTTAAACCTTCGTGTACAAGATTTGTAACCTTGTTCTAACAGCCACCGACGGACTGTTGAAGAGGCAAGACTAACACCTTGCTCTTCGTTTAGACTGGTTGCAATTTCTTGGCTAGATATAGTCCTATTCTTCACAACTTCTCTCTTGATTAATCTGCCAGTTCTATCATCAACATTTTTCTTTCGTCCCCTTGTTTCCTTCCTTGGAGCAGGACTGGCATCATTATGTGCCCTAAGAGCTCGAGAGACAGTTGATTGTGAGGTTATAGCAATTTCTGCAATTTCTCTCGTAGATTTTCCTGCATCTGAGGGGGCAGTAATAGATACCTTAAGTGGTTCTAAGTGGCTATTTCAAGCTGTTTTTATACAGTATGAGGCTTTCTGGAAAATTCTGGAATACCCGAGATTTAATTTAAGCTGTTCTAGAATTCTCTAGAATATTGTTCTGAGTGTATTGTAAAATAGTTTTCAATATTTTGTCAAAAGCTCTTTAAATTTACCAGTTTAAACATTACAATGCGATATCTGAAACACCTTTTTTGCACAGAGTTTTTTTGCTGAATCTCATTTATATCCAAATTTATAATTATCAATAGAATACCTTAGGTGAATAAACTTTTTCCTAGGTGGTCGGGAAGGGTCTTTATATTAGTAAGATTAAAAATTATTTTAACCCCAAAAACAATAGAAAAAAAAATATTTTTAGTAAAAAAAATCAGGTGAGTCACTTTTGTCGAACAGCACTATATATATATATATATATATATATATATATATATATATATATATATATCCTGTTGCAGACGCCCGCGTAGGAATATTAGTGTTTGTTTAGAACCCACAGCCCCTTCTATGTAGTTTATAGTGTAACTATTTTGAGTAGAGCTAGTTACGGTTTCAACGAGAGAGAGAGGGAGAGAGAGAGAAAATTTATCTCAAGCAAAGTTTAGAAGATAATTCCCAGCGAAGAATTGGTATTTCAGCAGATTTGCATAAAAACATGATTTTATTATGATCTATCTATCTATCTATCTATCTATCTATCTATCTATCTATCTATCTATCTATCTATCTAATAAGCGGTTTCTGAACAAGGCCAGCACGCTCAAATCCTCGGCCAGGCTGAATTGTTATTTCATACCAGCACAAACGTCGGTCGACTTTTGAACGGCTCCGTATAGCCACTTTCGCTCACAAGGCCACTTTCATCCGTGGCATGGATTTCAATGATGCCATACGCAAGGATCACTTCTATGATATGACTGCATCGAAATAAAGTTACTGCAATCATACCCAGCCTCATGATCACAGACCGACGTTCTAACCACTCGGACAAGCGTATATATGGAATATTTGTTTTAGAATAAGATGTTTATATAGGAACTGTTCAGCTGTTTTAGTTTCATATTTGTCTTATTAGATTTATTTTTTATCTTTTCCGTATATATATATATATATATATATATATATATATATAAGAAGGAGCGGATCTTTTCTCTTTGGCCTTTCTGTCTGTTTTCCTCTGATGGCGGTTTTTCTTCTTAAATGAACGCGAACCTCTTCAATGTTAAATTGTCCATGGACAAATCGTGTTGCTTTGTTTGGATTTCGATTTTTTTGCCTTTCCCGCCGTTTTTCGTGCAAAACAATTTTCTTTGTCATTTAGGGGCTTCAGAAATACGCAAAATTAAATTAATCGTCCATTTCTCTTCGACAGCAATTTATGAAAGTAACCAAGAAAAACTGCCATTTCTAGATGGAGTGAGGAATGAAAATTTATCGGCCAGCCAAAGAAGTTACTAAAAAACGAAAAAAAAAAAAAGAAATAACGAAAAAAACATCATTCTGATATTTCGTCATTTGGCGCGGTTTTTGGATTTGCCTTGAGCCGAAAACTTTTTTTAGTAGCCTATAGTATAATTTTTGCCAGAGGGGTCGGGGAGTCGCGTATGTTTGTGTGTGAGAAGAGAGCGTGAGAGAGAGAGAGAGAGAGAGAGAGAGAGAGATAGACAAGAGAGATGTTCGACTATTGAGAAGATTTCTCAGTCCGCCTCATTTCTGACCAAATTAGCAAAGAGATATTTTTGGCAGGACTTCTCCAGGCTAAGATGTTTTCCTCTTGTACACATACGCACACACAACATATATATTCATGCTAATCTCTGTATATATATATATATATATATATATATATATATATATATATATATATATATATATATATATATGTATGTATATAAAGTTGTAGCCTCTGTCTGTATGTTATCGAACTCCTCCAAGGGTTTTGGAGATAGACCCCGATAAGTATACATATTCGCGAAACTACATTACCCAGGATACTTTGATAAGTATATTTAAATTTGATCAAAGGAGTTCCCACGACCCGCCTCACCCCATTGATTTTTTCCCATTTGATTTACATTAAATGTAAATTTGAGCAAGGGAATGACTCCTATCCAAAATTGTTATTGTGGAACACCCCTATTCTATATTCAGACTCTCCCACCTATAATAAGTAGGAGTAGTAAGAGTAACAAGGGAGTCGCTCAGTGGCTCGGTCTGAGTTCAGTCTGAAGTCGGACGACCGGCTGACCGGTTGAACTCTCTGCCTTCGGGCGGGGAGGAACCCGAACGAGGCTACGTCGAAGGGCGGAGTCTCTTTCGGGGAGGTAAAGCGACCCTGAACACGTTTATACGGGTTCAATGGGCATATTTTTAGCCGAGCCCACGGGCTCGGAGATCCCACGTTAAACCGGCCTTGTACCACATGATGCCCTCGTGGTGGGGGGGTGAATAAATATAGTCGCTCAGTGGGTCGGTCAGTCAGTCGATGCCGGACGACCGTTAATCGGATACTAAAGTATCAGCGACCACAACTAGATTACTTTGCGTTATACCTATTATATCAAGTTCCTAACGTTTTGTACGTCGAACCTATTTTAGGACCGACTTAGTACAAATACAAGACTCCACTGTGAAATCACTTTATAACAGAAACGTAAAAGGAAAAAGAGAGAACATGGAGGTCCCATCGGCAAGATCAAAATGAGAGACTAGGGACGTCAGGTTGAGCCAGAAATCAACAATCAGTGGGATGTGACTTACAATACATATTTATTGCGACAATTCAACTGTCATAATAAATTGAATTTTTTTAACAATTCATTCAGTTATTGCATCAAATACACACCAAAGAGGGCAGATAAAGCTGCTTTTGCCCAACTCCCCACATTGAAATTTTTTTCCCTTTTATTTAAATTAAATTTAAATTTGAAAAAGAGAATGGCTCCTATCCAAAATATAAAAAAAAAACAAAGCCAGACGATGGAGGCGACATCAGCAATATCACTGAGTAATATAGAAATGCACCATTTTTCTCTACAAATCATAACAATACTTTGAAATCAATCATCTTACAAATAAGATGTGTGGCAACAGGGCGCAGGTAATTCGTCTAGTATATACATACATAAATATATATATATATATATATGAAGAAAATTATACAGAAAAAACAAACAAAAATCTTAATATGCAATTATGCTGTATTAATGTTAATATAATGTCAATGTCTATTTTAGACCATCATCAGGACATATTCATAAAACATAATTAACATCAGACTACATTCAAATTCAACATGAAAAAGACGATGGACATAAGAGCACGACTAATCCAAACAGATAACTGAAATTTTTATATAAGATCAGCGTTCCGTTTAAATATGATCACGTCGTCGTCACGTGGGCGATGTTGTGAAAACGTATTCGAAGATGATTTCAAAATATTAAATAAGCTCGATTGAACTATTGACTCATATAAATATATATATATATATATATAGTATATATATATAGTATGTATATATCCTATTTATATATAAATTCTGGTTAATATATATATTATATAGATATTCAGTATATGTATATATATATATATATATATATATATATATATATATATATATATATATACAAATGTGTGTGAAAAGTGTATATAAATATAAATAAATATATATATATGTATAATTATTTATATATTATATGCGCGGTACTTATTAGAAAGCGCTCAATATCAGAAATAGAGCTAACATATTTGGTTGGATAGATGTGAGTTCTTGCTGACGATCGCTAAAGCGTGAAATCCAGGGTCACAAACTCACATCTATCCAATATATATAATATATATATATATATATATATATATATATATATATATATATATATATAACTATATAAATGTAAGCAGCTATACTCGCCTGGCAAATCCTTAGGTGTTTCAGCTTGTAATTGAACAAACTAATACTCAAGGGAAAAAAAGAAAGAACGACGAATATGTACTTCCGGCGAAAAAATCGTCTAGAATCTAAGTTCAGAGTCCAAAGAAAAAAAAAACTCCGATACGAGTAAAGGAAAAATAACTAAGCAAAGTACTCAATACGCTATGTAGAGGAAAATAAGTAAATAAACCTAAAGAGCCAGACCAACCTACCTAGGTTTCACGTACGCGGATCCGCCCTGACGATCCTCGTAGGTGAAACCTTGGTAGGGTGTGCTAAGAGTCGAATTCTTTAATGTTTAAACTAACATTTATATGCCATAGCTTTCTCAGATCAGTGGCTGGAAATGGCTTTAAATGAATAAAATTCTGTCAGAATATGTCGTAGTGCATGCGCGAAGAACAGATATTTACCATTTACGGGCATTCGTAAGATGACAATGTAACAGAGAGAGAGAGACAGAGAAAGAGACAGACAGAGAGAGATAGAGATAGAGAGAAAGAGACAGACAGACAGAGAGATAGATAGAGAGAGACAGACAGACAGAGAGAGATAGAGAGAGAGAGAGACAGACAGGGAGATAGACAGAGATAGATAGATAGATAGAGAGAGAGAGAGAGACAGACAGACAGACATGTAGAGAGAGAGAGAGAGAGACAGACCTACAGACAGACAGACAGACAGACAGACAGAGACTTAACTCAGAATAAGACAAATCTTTTAATAAATAAACTTTAGAATATAATCCCCTGAGAATAATTGTATAATTTTCAGCAAAATATCTTAAAACATCATTTTACTATGATCTATCTATCTATCTATCTATCTATCTATCTATCTATCTATCATTTGTGTATCTCTCAAAATACAAAATTTCTTTCTTCCTTTCTTTCTTTCTTTCTTTCTTTCTTTCTTTCTTTTGTTCGTTCGTTCATTTTTTTCTGTCAGGTTGGATCAGTTCCCTTAACCTAATACAGCCATCTAGAATTTTCACTGAATAATGCTAGATCAGTGATTAATGGATAAGCTCTGGATTAAGGAAGAGGATTATGAGAAAAACAAACATTTTTAATGTGAATTATGTGTGTATATGTATATATATATATATATATATATATATATATATATATATATATATAGATAGATATAGATATAGATATATAGATATAGATAGTAGATTTATACATATATATTATTTATATATGTGCGGTACTTATTGTCCTTACTTAATATCAGTGACAGAACAGGCTGAGTTGTATGGTTGTGAGTTTGTAACCTGGGTTTCACGCTTTTGCGATCCTCAGACAAACTCCCGAGGAACGCAAAAGCGTGAAACCCAAGGTTACAAAACATCCACAACTCAGTATATATATATATATATATATATATATATATATATATATATATATATATATAATGTCGAAACATACTTTCACACATGCACATATGTGAGTTTGTATGTGTATGTATTAGTAATGTGCGTGCGTTTTGTTGGAAGTGAATACTCAGTACCAGGTTATAACATCTGAAAATGTTTAAATTCCTTAATTATAATCTTTATGAAAATTGCTGATAGAAAAACTGCGTACGTGACAGATACAGTTTTTCATATTTACAATGTACCCCAAATGTTGTGTCTGTGTGTGTCTATTTGTGTGTGCGTGCGTGTGTGTGTGCGCGCGCGCGTGCGTTTGGTTAAATAATATCTATCAACATGTAATCTTTAGCAAATTTTTCATTAATTTTTTTCAAATTTCCGAATTAATTCATTCAAATTATCGGTAAATTTAGCAAATTTTATATTTGTTTTCATTTTATGTTATTTTTCAAGAGTATTTTCAAATGTTACTACGTTCGTTTTCAAGGATTCTGTTTTGGCTATATTTACGCAACTGTTTTTGCGTTTTATATATATATATATATATATATATATATATATATATATATATATATATATAAGCATGTGTATTGAATAGTTAACAAAATCAGAAGCAAAAATGCATTTTCTCAGCTCCATTCAATAACAGGCATCTATCTATCTATTTAAGTTCCATATCTATCTATATCTATCTATCTATCCCTATCTATTATCTATCTATCTATCTATCTATCTATCTATCTATCTATCTATTTAATCCTATCTTCCATATCTATCTCATCCTGTTCCATTTCTATCTATCTATCTATCTATCTATCTATCTATCTATCTATCTATCTATCTATCTATCTCAGTCTTTTCATGTCTATGTCAGTATGTTCAGCAATCTATCTATCTGTCTATCCTATCTGTCTGTCTGTCTATGTTAGTTTGTCCTTATATATATATATATATATATATATATATATCGAAAATCTGTTCATATATATCTATTTTTAAGCCCGTTTTATCTATGTAATCGGGGTTCTCGAAATTTCCTATCAAGATTGAGTAGCTCTACTAATTCCGTCTAAATATGGAATGGCTTCTTCTTTCAACCACTCTACACAACATTTTCACACTGACCTCCCTAGACGCACACAACCGATTCCAGTTTTCATGTATTGCATTTAAATTTTTCCGTGATAAATTGATTTGAAAGATACGAATGCCCGTTCTCTCACTGCATATATAAGTTAAGCGCTTGTACCAAACTGTTCGTAAAGCAAACTTTAAATGATATACAACCCAAGAGATTGGTGAACAATAAAATAAATTAAACCCAGAGATGTACTGTCTAATATATAAATATTCATACACACCTAAACATCATATATACATACATACATATATATATATATATATATATATGTGTGTGTGTGTGTGTGTATGTGTGTGTGTGCGTAAAAGTATATGTGGCATATGTGTTTATGCATCATGCGGAATTATGCAAAGGAGAAATCGACAAACAACAGTAGTAAATCACAGAGACTAACTTACCGACGTAAAGTTTTAGTACTTGAACTAAACCCGTGTTATGTAAATGACATATCCTTAGAGTCCCTCTTAGATGCACAGCAACAGACTCTCAACTGAGAGGATTAACGGGACACCTTGTGAACAGGATTCTGGGCCTCGCCTCCAACTCTGTCCAAGTACAAGTTTTCCCCACTACCTCCGATAACATTCTTTCTTTCTTTCTTTCTTTCTTTCTTTCTTTCTTTGTCACATTCATCATTCTGTCACATAGACACATAGATCTGACACTCAGCTAAATATGCACTTGGGGATACAACACACGCCTCTTTGGATAGGAGGGGTTAATAAGCAATTCTTTCAATGAACATTACTTTTCTAGTTCAAGCCTCCCTGTGTTCCCATTAACTTCTTGTTTTGCGCTATACTAAGCTATACTTATTAAATTGCATCACGACCTGTTCCTATTAAATTTGATATTTTTTCCTAACCACACAAGAAATCTGTATTTGGACGCAGTAAGTAACCAGGATTTTAAAAGCTGTTTTACCTGTTCATGCTACTCTCATTTGTATGCCCGACGGAGCACAATCTTTCTCCATTTGATCGTATGTCGTACGTAGGATAATTTAGTCAGTATGGAGGGCCGATTCCGATTTAAAAAGAGTGCAAGAACACAATGAAAATAATTGGGTGTTTTAATATATTAAATTTATTTTTAATTTTATCTTAATGCTTGGCGTCGTTTATAAAATAGAACTTATTAAAATTCAGATAGAGTAAATCCTGAGTTAACAGACTGATGGACAGGAACACGTCTGCAATAACAGTATATATATATATATATATATATATATATATATATATATATATATATAAATATAAACAATATTAACTACGAACATAGCCACAATGTGCTAACCGTTTTCGGAAATTAAAAACATCCCTACCACACACTAAGACATACACATAACGCACACACTCGATTAAGCTGAAAAATCGAATCATCCTTGATAATTGCTAAAGGTATAGCCGAAAGCGCACGGAAATATAAAACATTTGGACAGTTTTTACACACCCTTTGTCCAGAAAAGAAATCACTTGTTCGAACACAAGAAAAATTAAATAAAAAGCTTAACCGTAGTACCTTGTCTGTCGTTTTTAATGAAACATGCATAAAGGAAGGATTGCTGTCTAAAATACAACTATATATATATATATATATATATATATATATATATATATATATATATATATGATAAATGCGAATATCAGTGTGACACTGTGTCACACATTCTCAACTTTACTCTTAGAGGCCGTAGCCAACATAATATACCATTATGGAATCAGGCCAATTCCGTGAGCAAATTAAATACATTCCGGACCCGTAAACCTGAAATTTTGGATTCCTAAGTTTTCATTACTGCGATTGTTTTCGTCTACATTTTTACGTGAGTTTTTGCGACGAAGTTATTTTTTGAACGATAACAGTTTTTATGAATTGGAAATAAATTTGGGAATAATCGAAATTAATTGCGAAATCCAATAAAAATCACCCATTAAGTAAAAATAATTATTTATAAGGAAAGTAAGGACCTACGTACATCAGATTATCTTTAAATTAACTGGCGGCAGAAGAATTATCGTTGATATTTTAAAAGGTAAGCTTAAATATTAATGCAATACTTAAATGCAGCGCTCAATTTT